AAAGAGAACAGGTAGTGATGATGGGAGGAGCTGAGTTCTCACAAGAGGTTCAGCCACATAGCATCTGATCATTAATGTCCATAAAACATTTTGGCTTGTGTCCAGCTTGCTAAGCAGAATGGTGTCATGGCAATAATATGAAGGCCCCTGCGCCAAAAGGTTCCCTGCCTCTCCAGCCTCTTAGGCTATACTGAGGATGACCTGCCCTGACACTGATTAGGACTACCTTATGGGTACTGCAAAACAAACAACATAAAGCGTGCAGTTGGCGAGACGTTTGGAGAGGTGAGATAACCAGCTCTTTGAAAACCTGCAATGTAAAATAACAACAGGGGTTGTTATTTACATCCAGAAACTTGACTATTAGGTCTTTGACAAACAGCAGTGAAAGAAGAAGTCAGAGTATCTGAAGTACATTACTCTCCAAATGATGTTGAGACTGATCCCAGAATAACAGCCTTATTTGTATGAAGAGAAATGAACTAGACTGAATGCTGTATCATGAATCAGGGGGCCTAAGTCTATAAGCGCAAGTGCTCATAGCATCGTGCTTATAAACTGTGAGATAGAGACATTCATCTTAAAATCTAATGGTATTTTGGTTTTATCTTTCTGAATCAAGGAAAGGCTTTTGTGTTCTCCCTTTTGTCCCAGACTCAATACAGTCTTATTACATGATTTGGCCACAACCATGTTTTGCAATGCTAAGTCTGTTTGTTCTTGAACAAAGGGTGAAATGTGACACTGCATACCTAATCTTCTCTTGAATATGTTACTTTTGGATATACTGCCCTTCATCTGATTTTTTTCAGGCAAGTTCTGTGTGATTATAATGGAATTGTTTTTAAGATTATTAGATCTACAACTTCTAATACATTGGTATTTAAAATACAAACCTCTCGAATTTTCCACCCTTATGGCTACACTATTTCCAAGAAAAGGACCTTGTCAAATGGAAGCATGGTATAAAGGGAGCTTTTATATTTGCATAGAAATTGTTTGATAGCAAAGTCTCCAAGGTTTCTCTTTGAATTCAAGTATGCAAATTTAATAGAATTAAACAAAATACCCTAAAGATGACAGAAAATCATGGTACTTGAGACAGGTTTAAAAATTGGTTTCCTCATCTTTACCTTGATCCTGGCAGCATTTTTGAAACATATTTAACTTGTGGGTTAGGTTGTCTTTTCATAAACTCAGTTATTACTCAGTACCCTTTTTTTAAATAGATTTGTCTATTTCAATTTATGGCATGTGCTGTGTCTGTGGGCCTCTACGGAAAAACTGTACAGTTGTTTATCTTTGTTATTTTCTGCAGGATTTCGAATGAGTAATCATATTAGCTCAGCAGATTTAAAAATAATAATAGTTCTAAAACACCCTGCAAGAGCTGTTAATTGGAATAATATGTGCTAAAGATAAACCAGGCATCATTTTCACGGATTCCAGTCTCTCAGCAAACTGAACAAGATACTGTGGCTCTTGCATCCATTTCATTTTTACTTCATGAGTATTAACAAAAAAGGTAATAATTCAGTTTAATTATACTCTAATCAAAGAACCACCTTTGATTCTCGTAATTAAATAAGCTGAGCATAATTTCTTTTTCAGATGCTTTTTAAAAAACTTTTCCTTTGCTGTCCTGTTTTTAAAAAATAACATTCATATGCACAAAACCCGAAGAACATAAATCCTGAACCTTTGTGTAGAGCTCAACAAGGTGCCAAATTTTCCTGTACCTTTGTTACTTTAGTTTACATCACAGATGCTATAGTAGATGCAATACTGTTGTTGTTCAGTTAGATATTTCTCTAAAAGGAAGGTCAAGATCTGTACACAATGTAATAAGCACTTTTGTCTGCCTGTTATTATTTGCACAACTACTGTGGCTGCTTGGGGAAATCTATGTTTGGCTGAGTATCTAGTCATTACCTTGCAGAATGATCTGATTTTAGGTATATTTTGGCACAGAGATAATTCATCTTTTCTTCTCCCATTTGCCTCATCTTTTACAATGACACATCTTATGACAGTGCAAGAAAATATAGAAAAAGTACCTTTATCTGAACATGGAAAGGCATGGTTTATTAAAAAGAACAAGAACGGGTTCATCTTAAAGTAATTTTTGGTCTGGAAACTAAGTCTATTAAGGAAGGTGATAATTGAGAAATGCATTTACAATCCTTCAGCCCATATTACATTTTGAAGAATAAAAATTAGAGATTAAAGTTAAACATTTTGTATTTCTTATCAATATGATTTTACGTAGGTTTCAAAGAAAACTTTTATTTCCTTAGTACAAGTGAAAAAGCTTTGCTAGTCAGAGCCAGGCAAAATTTCCAAATATATGGAAATATTTAGGTCTACTCAACTCTGCATGTGCAACTCTGGCAGAACAAAAAGTCGATAAAATGGAATAGAAGTTAACTGTAAAAATAATAATTCGACTTGCATCAAAGATGACTTCTACTGTTTCTCAAAAAAAATTTACCAAACTTTTTCTGCATTGTTATCAGAAAAAAGACCACCTCAGAATTTTAAAATTTAATACTATATTTCCTCTATATACTGGTACTATAGAACTGGTAAAGCTATAGAACAATGTGCTGGTAAAATGAAATTCATATGGGTTCTGTAGTGTATCCTCTCGTATTACAGCTGTAATAGTAACAAGGGAACAATAATGATTGTAGGCAAGATCCATGCTCTTGGCAAATTATTCCACATTCTTGGTTTATTCTGGATTTATTCCCAGTTTGAGATTTCAATAAGGAAATGGCTGAGTTCTTCTGGTACAGAAATCTGGGCCGAACTTTTCATGATTGTCTTACATGAAATATTACATTTAAACTAACACATATAGAAGTTTAAACATAAAACTTCTTCTGTTGAAGTTCCTCTGCATTCTGCAGTTACATTAGGGTCCCCTTCATCCCTTTATTGGTTTTGTTCTCTGTGGTCACCATTAAATAGTAGTAATCTCTATCTGGATGATAGAATGTGCTGATAGTCCACCTGAAAAGAGGAGTGATGATACATGGCAAGCAGTAAAGGAGATGCGTTTGGCCTTCTACATACTTCTTGTATTGTTCTAAGAGCACTTCAATAACTATTATAATAATGATTACTAAACACAGCATAATTCTCTGGGGCAGAATCTATCAGTGCCCTTGTAAATGTGTTTAACTACTAAGACCCTGGAATTTCTAACATGGTAAAGTTCAGTACATGCTTGTGTATTTTGTTATGGAAGGTTTCACATATTACATAAAGTGCAAGAAGCAAAAGCATAAAGCTGCAGCTCCACACCAACTAGTCATCATATGACCAAGCAGAATGAAGGCAGTGGTCCATGGCTGCGTGGTAAGTAAAGCATTCACAGAACTGAGTTTGAGGGACATGTCTTTAACATCAGGTAGCATTGAAAGCACACAGTCCCTGCTGTTAGTTTAGTGTTTCAGTAATTGCTCTTTATAACTTACCTGCTAGGTAGCTGAGCATGTATTATCATTCACTTTTCAGGACGGAAGGACGGGGTGAGAGTAAGAAATTCATGTGACTTTATCAAGGGAACCAAAATAAGCCAGGGATGCAGATGTGAAGAGATGTGAACTCCCACCTCCTAGGCTTGTGCTGCTAGGCAACGTTGATGGTGATACTAGCTATCAATTTTATGATGTATTTATTTACAACTTACAGTCAAGTAAACCGTAATCACGTGAAGGCTTCACTGTGCATACAGACTGTCAGCCTGACCAGGTCATCTTGTAACTCTGCCTATTACCACCCTGCACCCATTGCCCCTCTTTGCATTTCATGGTACACCTTACATTAATATAGTATCTCAGCATCAGACAATGTCTTTTACACATAGCACAGATCTTCCAGGCTGAATGTTGCCAAAATCAGTCTTGGCATGCCTGGTTAAAACACTTACTGACTTCAGTAATACCTGCATTTTCCCTTGCTGAACAGTGTTACCATGTTCCAGGAACTACGTTCCGGTTCCACTTTGGTCCAACAGTTTCAGTCTCTTTAAACACTTTTTTTTTAATTAATCTCACCTTTCCTGACCCAAGAGCCACCACTGAACCAGCAAGTCTTTTGCTACATTCAAAATAATGAATAATGCTCAGACCTTCAAATGCAAAGCTTTAAAATCCTTTCCACCAGTCCTATACAGTGGAAAAAGGTGTGACCACTGGAAAATGCGGAATTCCCTAATCTAATTAACAGGCAGGAGGATAAAAGGAAGAACTAAAAACTAGCCTCTGACATCAGAAGTTCCTCTAACTACTCATTTCCTTCTATGATCTTATTTGTTTGACAGTAACTTTCTAAAGAAAACTAAAAATGTCTTAGATTTTGTCATATAGGGGCATTTGGGGTTTTGTGTGTTGTATTACCGAAGATCTCCGGGCTACATCACAGAGAAAATGTGATAGCCCAAACTTGTAGAGAAATGTATATGTAAGTTATAAATAGGTTGTAAGTTCTGAGACCAGACATAAATGCTAAAAAAAACCATGGGTGTAGACTATTTAGCCCCCAACTCCCTATTAAAATTATGAAACTTCCATTAAGAAATCAAGCAAAACAAAGTAATGATAGAAATGAAGAAAAAGGGGAAAACAGTTAGGGCTTTTGCTTTTAAATTTCATTGCAATTCAGATTTGATGACTTGGCACTGCTGTGCAAAGCAGCATTTTTCAGTCTTATTTCTTCTTGCAGAATTACATCATTACCTCAGAGCCATTTTAAAGGACACTAAGGATGATGTATTCCAGTTGAAAATGAGCAGAGCTGATACTTCAGGAAGGACTAACCATCAGGTCACTATAAAAGGAAAATGCATTTTTAGTTTTATACAAAGAAAGCTTTTCTTTCCTTCAGAATCCTCTACTCTTCCCCTTGCTGTGTACTTGCACATACCAGGCACATGTACGCTTACACTTGCACACAAAAGCAGATCCAGGAGATATGCTTTGAAGCCAACCTACCATTCTGATGCCGTTCTCAAAGGCCTGACGTGCTAGAGAAGCAGGTCCATCCACAGTCTTACCGTCGTCATCGGGCCCCCAGCTGGCACTGTAGATGTGGATGTGCTGAGGATTAAGGCTTAGAGACTTTGCTTCTACCATGTCTGTCACATCTCCATCCAGCATCCGTACACCTTCAGAATGAAAGATACAATGAATAGGACCAACCAACTCAAAATATTTCTTTGGTTTTTGTTTTCTTCCCTAGGGAGAATTGGTAGGACACTGAACTGAATGATCATAGGAATTTAAACTTCTATTTTAAAAAAACCCAAAACCTCTTTGGATATGAGCTTTTCCAATAAAAGAAAAAAAATCTCTAAATGAAAAAAGACAAAAAGGAAGTAATATTTTGGTGTCTCTTTGGAGTTATAAAAATTATCTATGAGTCATTTACCCACTGTACAGCCTTTGAACTCCAGCAACAAAGTTTCATGCTAAAGAAAACTCAAAAAGTACTTGAACCTTGAAATGCTTGTGTCTCACTTGATAATATATGACTTTCTTTTTTCTTTTGCACAGCAGTGAAACTGCAGCACCTACTTTGAGGCATTCATAGTCCCAAGTCTGTTGACAGACATAATAAAAGGATTACTCTATACCAAAGAAGAAACTGGGGAAAAAGCTCATGTGTACTGACTGACAATTAGAGGAAGTTACTAATGTATACCCTATATGTAATATTATTCAACCTGAAACTATATTCTGAACATCCTCCTCTGTGCAGAAGTTTTTGTAAGGTATAATTTGAAATTCTTGTGTTAAAAGAATTCATTCATGTGGATTTGGACAAGTCAGTGTGCCAGCCCTTCGAAAGTGAGTGGCCTCATGATGTTTTAAGATCACTAGATTGAATAAGGTAGGCTTAAATCTGGAAACAAATTAAATCTTACAGTTTTGACTAACTAAGATTTTGACTGAAGTTAATTCTGACTGAGAAAACCACCAATGCCAGTTTTAACCCAAACAAGAAAAAGGAACTACATATAGCTAACATAAAATTTTATCAGAGATGTTAAATATTAAATAATAATTAGCATGAACTGTATGATAGTACAGAGAATGATTACTTCCACAAACAACAAGTTTGACGCTTTTTCCATTTTAAAAGGCCACTGCTATTTGTAAGCCAAATCTACATATTTTTAATGACAGACACATTTTATTTTGCTCATGAGCTTAGACTGAAGTAACTTGAATGTTTACCAAGGCCTTAACTTCCAATTAACAAAAGGCAGAGGGGGACCTTTGTGGATAGAAGGTCTTCTTTTTTCTTACTCTAGTTGACTCAAAAATGAAAAGTGATCATATTTCTACACTCACACAAAAGCTGCCCATGTTTTGTGAGATCATAAACTTTAACAAACAGTGATCTCACTATGAACTTTACTTCATAAAAAAGTTATTAAACCAACTCTGGGATTCTCAAGTTTTATTTTTCTTCCTCAGCATAATCTCAGAAAATTAATGATGGGTGGAAGTTGTGTTCTCCACTTCTTTCAAGCACACTGAAATACATCTAGTTCTGAATAAAGACAATAAAAGGTACACTGCTTTTGAAAGAAGGAAAATAAAGCATTCCTATGTATGTCTGTTACTGTGTAGGAAGCCTAAATAATACTGCGTGCACCCGGTGAACAGTAACTCCAAATTCTGCAATTGGCATCTGAAGTAATTCACACCAAGTTTTTTTTTGCTAATGGTGAAGTGGTGAATTCTAAAGCAACATGGAAAAGGCTGTGACTCAGGTGTTGCTCTCTCTGGCCAACAACTTACAGACATGCTTCCAGGGTGACTTTGAACAACAGATGTCATATTGGCTATTCAAAACAAAAATAATTCCTTCCCTTCCCTGCCTTTCCTTCCCTCTTTCCTGCCTTCCTTGTCTTGCTTCCCTTCCTTTTTCTTCCTTTTCCTTCCCTCTTTCCTGCCTTCCTTGCCTTGCCTTGCCTTGCCTGCCTTGCCTTGCCTTGCCTTGCCTTGCCTTGCCTTGCCTTGCCTTGCCTTCCTTCCTTCTTGTCTTCCTTGCCCGCATGCCTGCCTGCCTGCCTGCCTTTTCATTCCTTTCCCAGATGTCTGGAGTAGTTAATTCTGCCTATAACAAACCCTTCAAACTGCACTAGGCATGTGGTGGTAGTGCAAAAAAAGCTGTCCATAATGCAATTAACAGACTGAATTTGCAGACTGTTCCACCTAAGACTTTAAAGCCTTGTAAACTTATTCCAGTATTTGCAGTAATTGCCAAAATACAAGCGGCATTTCGGTCAGAACAAACTTTCAATGAATCACAGGAAACATGCAAAACTGAGCTGAAAGCAAGTTTTCTTTTAAAATGTTTGTTTTTAATCAGCATCTGACTTAAAGAAACAGCTGAACTAGTTCCTTGTCAGCTGAAGACAATCTACATCTGTTGTGCCATAATTCAGTGTTACAGTTTTCCCATCAGGACTTGAGCCCAGCCAAGTAACTAAGCTCCCAAATCCCTGCAGATGCTTTGCAACTTCCACAATCAGTTTGCAACAATAACACCACACTAATAATCCTGTCCTATAAAAGGTCTCACAACCTCTCTAGGTGGTAATTTGCTATGTGTGATTACTGCAGAGAGTCATGTTAAGAAAAAGAGCTACCCCTTTGGTGCACTTGTTTGTCTTCCAGTGAAAGGGCCAGTAGCTCAGCTAAGCACAAACTGCAGGCACAGTGCATAATTTTTTATGAGAAACATGTCACAACTTGTAAAAGAACTGAAGGTCCAGATCGTAATTTTACTCAAATTCTCTTACCTGCAGATTACATCTCCATTTACACTGTTGTAAGGGAAGGCTCAGACTTTCTAAGGATATTATTTCTGACTTATTTGTGGTCAGAGGTTCTTAAATGTGTGGAAATGAGACAAGTGCAAACACATTTTGAAAAAAGTGAGCATTACTGGTGGCTTTCTTGTTAACAGTCTCCTATCACAAAGATCATTAATCGGATTTGTTCAGCTGCCAGTATCTGACAGACTATCAATGGAAATGATTTATTTTCTGCTTTGCTTTATCTCCTTACTATCCCTTACATGTCCAGAGATGCTTTTTGGTTTGAAGAAAGAATACTTATTGTGTACACTTACTGTGGTGGAGCAAATTCAACACCACTCTCGGCAGGTGCTCCTCTATGTAAGGAGAATGTAATTGCTTTACCTCTCCTCTAGTTTCTTCTCCAAGAAGGCCCCAGGAGGGTCTTTAAATCCCTGGAAACAAGCAAGCTGAACACTAAGTTCAGCATAATATAGTTCAACATTTTTATACTCTATCTGGCCTGTGGAGAGGGAACACAACCACTGCATACTCACGTTAGCTTATGGCTTTTCTGAGGGAAGGGAGGGAGGCATGCCAAACAGAGGTCAGTAGCAGCAAAATTCTCAAAGGTATATACCCAGTGGAAAAGGAAGCTTAACCCCCCTTCCCAATACTCTGGAATTCTCTCTTGCCTCTGACTTTCTTCAGATTATCTGTTGAGTCTCCTGAAGTCTTATTTTCAAGTGCTGATGCTTTTAAACAGTGGCACATTACCTTAAGTGAGGTTTGCACAGTTACTATTTTTCACCTTTCTTTTAAGAGCAGTGTTAGTGATGGCTCTGCAGAATCATGGTGACAAATGGAGTGCATAGAATTTTTATTTCACTGAGACCATTGAAATTTCTTGAAGGCTGTATATTCTCCATACTAAATAAATAAAGGCACACATATCCAGTCTTTTTGTTCACATTAACTACATTCATATTATGTCCATCTGGATCAATTTTTACACTATATTTAGAAAAGGCTGTGATTCAGCTCATATGCCTGTAGGGTTTCTAAAACATTATCACTGCACATTCCTAATGCTTAATAAATAAGAACCTTTTAAGAAGCCACTGTTACTAATGAAGAACTTTTCAAAGACATGCATGCCCAAGCTGTTGCAGGTTGTGCGACTATCTAACTCATAAATGAAACTTCACCAGAAGCTATCTTTTATCTCTATTAGTGCACTAACTCTCCTCTGACTCTCATCGGACAACACATTAGATCTGATTTCATAGCTGCTGGTACATGACCAAATGCCATGTCCACATGAGACAGCTTGCTTATCTGCCACAAACTCACTCACTTGGCCAGTTCTGATTTTCTAAACCACTCTGACAGGGTACCTTTGTGCAGGCAGGCTCTCCACCTGAAGGGAAATTGTTTTTCTGTATCACTTTAACTTTACATTGGATCAGGTACTGTCTATCCTCTTGAAGCCAGCAGGAATACAGAAAGCTGACATCAGGATGATGTTGTGCGCTTTGGCTAATTTGAAATGCAGCTGTGCTCACATTTCATTTGGATCAAACTTTTACTGATCCAGTAGAGAACAGATACAGTACTATTAACTGTGGAAACATGGCCTCAACTCTGCCTGCTCATATTTCTGAACTGTCATCTACTGTATATATAGGTAAACGTTTCTATTTTCACAGATGGGCTCTATTTTGGGACAGAAAATCAAAAACTAATGAGCTTGAGCTATAGTTTTTCTACTGAAAGCCAATATATTAATCCCATGATTTCATCAAAAGTTCAGAGTAAAACTTCACTTGAAGCATTTAAAATCTGGCACAGGCAGGCTACAGCCTAGGAGATACATAGATGACATCTTGATAGTCATCTCCACAAATTAAGCCAAAGGTCTTAATTAAGAATTCACAGAAAACACTTGGAACCTCTTGGCTTGAGTAACAAGAAATTAAAATTGCAATTGAAACTTGTATTTCAGGCAATAATCCTATCACACAGAGGGATCAAAAGAAGTTTCTCCCCAATCACAGCTAAACATAAGAATGCGTTACGTTTCAACAGTGTTATTTTGGGATCAATATGCAAGGCAATATTCCTGATGTATACACTTACTTCTGGTTAGTCAAAGTTCACCATGTATAGCTCTGAATTCGTGAGAAAACCCAAATGCCTTTATTCTGGGGTTTGTGTTTTCATCGAAGGTCTCACCTTCTGTTTTTTTGTGTCTACTGAGAGGCAGTGTTCCAGGGAGCACTGGAGAAGTGTTACTGCAGACAAACTCCTTCAGTACTGATATTTAATGACCACTCTACAACTGAAGTTTACTTGCTAATGGAGCTAGGTTTGTTACAACACATATCTCCTTCTCTTGTTAGAAAGGTCTGAATGTGCCATTTAGCACAAATGGCTCACTGCTTACTTTTATTTTTGGTAGGATATTGTCTCACATACCTCCAATCTTGGCATTAAAGGCGATTCCTACTGTGCAGTGTGAGTTGTTTGCTGTGGCTGCCACTTCCCCAGCACAACGGGTTCCATGCCTGGAGTCAAACAAACATTTTTCCAAATAAGCACAGACCATTGAGGTTAAAGGTTTTGACTTTGCTCATCTTTAGGTGCAAAAGCACAACTACCCACAGTGTTTTGCAACACTTAATTCCTTACAGTAATTTGCACCCATGCTACAATACTCCTCTGAACACATTTTAACATTATCACAATCATTAAATTCTTCATTGTAGGCTTTTTAGCTACTGAAAACATGTGTGGTTTGTAACAAACACATATGATGATACATAATCCACAGCAACAGAAAGAAGTCTTGGATACCAGGTTTCTGATTTTGAACCAAATCTTCCATTAACAGACAGTATTTTTGCCCTGCATTGTCTCACAACTGCTCATGTTGCTAGTATGTAGATCTCCATACAACCTCTAGAAGGCATAGCCTGGACCACACTTTTCCATTGGGAAGATGACTGCACTGCTGTTTAGAGGCAAGCCTTAAAACTGGCTACATGCCAGGTATGCTCAAAGCTTCTGTATAGGTGCATTCTGGTCATGCCTTGGGCCAACCATGAAAGCCTGCTGCCTTTCCATAGAAAGAAAAAACAGGAAGTACCTTCCACATCAGAGGTATACCGTGCACCTGAAAGCAGAGCTGGGCTGCAAGGGAAGCTGCTGAAAGGAAACACAAAACCTCCAGTGTTTGTTCACCGCCTTCCCCACTGTGCAAAGCCACAGTGGGATGCCTTGTCTAGCCCTGAACCATGTTCTTTACAGGGTGACAGCAGCCATCCATATAGCTACATGTAGCCATCCATGGCTACAGCAGGAAAGCTGTTGTAATTTTTGTCTGCAATATAGGTTTCATGGGGTGTTTTCTACCAGTAAGTTTTGCCCTCATTCTTGTGCTGTTAAGCAGCTCCACTGCAGAAATGCAACAAAAGCAAGAAGGAGCAAACCTAGTGAGCTGCTGCGAAGAGAAGATACGGAGTTTCAGACAAGACACGAAAAGAGATGGGGAGTTGATGAGACAGAAATAGAATGATAATGTAAGGCTTGGGTAGCCGCAAAGAAAGAAGTTTAAAAAGCCAAGGCAAAAAATAGATAACAACATGGCAAGCACTTCACAGGAGGCTAAGTGAGGTCAGTTGTGTACACAGGCACTCTACTGCTGGTGGTGGTTGACAGACTGCTTACAGAGACATCTGGAAAACACACGTGTTTTTGAATTAAAGTTGACGCCCACATTACAGACAAGAATCACAGTTGTTTTCTCTTCGTACAGCTTGTTTTGGGTAGAGTCACTTCTTATTTCCTTATTATCAGTGCAACTTTTTTTCCTCAACCTTTTGAGACACTTAGATAAGAAACACTAGGATAACTTGTTTTGAATGGATTAATGTAAAACAAGAACACATAGGACTAGGAAAAAAAGGGAGGAAACAAAAAAATAACCAACATAATTAGCAATGCTAAACTGTTAGAATTTCAAAGGAGATCATCCAGTTTATCAGATAAGATAGATATAATCTATGAGAAAAGTGTAATATTTATTCAGAAAATCAAAGTGACAAGTTGGATACTGATAAATCCTAAAGCTGGATCAAGGTTTCAAAACTATATCTCATTTGGTTGCCAAACTTGATCAGAGAATTTTTCAAGACTGAATTTGAAGTTTGTTTTTCATATGAAGCCTCATTTTTAAGCCTTTTCTTCATTCAAAGAAAGCCTATTTAACTCTAATTGATAAAACAATATTTTAGTCTGTTACGGAATTATTTTGAAAAGCCTAAAAGAAATAATCTATGAATTAGAGATGCAAAAAAGTTTCAAAAATATACTTCTTAATTTTCAAGGATTTTCAAATAGTGTTATAGCTCTGTGTTTGTTTGTAGTGTCTTTTTAAAATGTATGAATATTTGTAGGAAAATGCCTGTCTTAAGAAATATTTACAAGACATATGATTCACAAACTTCCCTTCTTCTCATAATGATTTTGTTAGGAGGCTGCATGAAGATGAATGGAAGAAACAGTTCAAGTTTCTCTATGGTTCCCATAGCTGCTATTTTGTTAGTTACATCCACACTGCACCAGTAATAATATTTCCATCAGATCACCAAACCCACCCTGGTCCCCCCAGCATCATGTAATGCTTCTAGAGGGGAAACAGAGGGAATGTGTGGTGGGCTTGGGAGGTGACTGCACCTCCCAGCAGCAATCCACAGTAATATGGGATTACTAGCAACATGAAACTAAATTCCATCTGGAGAAGAAATAACTGCAATGGTAGATAAAACTTCAGTAAGAAGTAGCCAAGCCTTTAAAGGAAGTAGCGTGGAAGTATACGAAGTAGCATTACACATACTTTTTGAATAAAGTACAGTAAGAAATTTCATGTAAATTTCTCACAGAAAAAAGCATATTCCAGAGAGAATTAGATCTTCAGACAGTTTACAGCACATGAGTTAAATCGACTTTGCTGAATATTTCAGTAGTACTCACATACTAGAAAATCCTGTTTATCATATTGAAAGTCCAGTAATAGTATAATTCTATTTTGTAAGGAGACTTCTATGTTAGGATCTTGCTCCTCTGCCAAGATTATTGTTAACTGCCTTCTACATTTATAATGGAAGTGACAAATATAGAAGTTGTTTTATTCATTTCAAGGCCATATGTATAAAATTACACTTACAATCAGTTTCCCACTGTGTGAATTAATCATATATGCAACTGAGTTTGTTTTAATCAGTTATCTGTTATAGGTCCTTTAAGTAATATTTCAACTACACCGTGATAAGGAAGATTTCTAAAAGTCTGCATATAAAAATTATGTTCTTTCCACATTGCTTTTAATTTTCCCTAGTCTAGATTTTTGCTTGAGGTCTATTGTTTGGAACAGACTCTGAATTCTGCAGTTAAAATTAGAAAAGCCTTCAGATTAATCATTACATTGATTTGTTAACTAACTTGATGAACAAATATGATGAAACTGATGCTGGAAATTGATCAAGTGTGCTTTAAATCTACGAAAACTTTTACTCAGCATGAAATCCTGAAAACTTCAAACAGTTCACGAAGGCAGCATAAGCAGCAACAAGAGGTGAAACAAGAGATGCTTTCAAGGTAGCATTTTTTGTGAAGGTATATATATATCAAAACATAACTATCACCTGTCTTTGTGGCATGCCTGCATCCCATAGAACTTGTTTAAAAAGTTGATGCAGTCCTAGAACAGAGCATGACTGCCATTCTACAAAGGCCTATCTTGATGAACTTCAAGGGTTGATGCTTCATTTCACTACAGCCTTTGCCACCTCATGTCGAAAGGAAGTAAGTTCCCAGGGTATTAAATAGCTCCTTGAAGGAACACTTAGCTAAAAGGTTTTGCACTTCTCCTTTGTGTTAATGTCGGGGTGATGAAGTATCACAGAATAGAAACATGAAAGCAAGCTTGGTTATGAGACATTCTGCCCATCTACACATGGGTTTCCTATCTGCAGTCTAATGGAAAGAAAAAAAGCTTTTTTGTTGTTGTTTGTCTCATAAGGAGCGATATGAAATATTGCTATTCAGAGACACATTCAGGCTCCAGAGGCCACCAGGTAAAAGAAAGAAGATGTCACAGGCATTACTGGCTTAGCTTTAACTGCTTTAGCTATTCTGCCATTCAAGTAAGTACAACTTTTTCAGAAATGTATTTATTTCAGCTTTTGTATATGAGAGGGACAGAACAACAAAGAACAAGGAAAATACGTAGGCAATTAAGATCGATTTTATTCTCTTTTTATAAGGAGGAAATTTGCAGTCTGTCATTAAGACAGCAAGGTGTCAAAGACTTATTCAGGAAAACCTTAGTAAAGATAATATTTTTGCCTTATGATGCCCTCACTATTATATAGAGAACTTGAAATAAATTGTTGAAGAAATACACTACTATGAAAAGATGTACTTTACTTTTTTCTGTGGCATGCACGAACAATGCTTGAACACCTGGATGCTAAAGGTACAGTATTTTGATGGCTCTCTAAGTAAAAGAGAAATATAAGAGCTGCACAGTCATCTGTTACACAGAGTAACTTTTTTCAGTAACACTTTTTCCTGAGACAGAAATGGCTCAATATTTCAGGCAATGATGGCAAGAAAAAAGGTGCGTATGATTAACTATCTCTCCCCATCCCATTGGCATAATTGAAATGCAAGACATGTATCTTTCAATAATTACTCTTAATTTGTCTTTCAGAAGGGGAAAAAGGTATAAGGCACCAGAAACATATTTAAGACAAAAGTTAGTTAAGCTTGCCTCTGAACATTTAGGGTAAGGAAATACTCAGACTTAGAGAAGACAGCTGCTGGTAATTTGAAAAGCCCCTGCCATGTAAAATGCCTTTGCATTTTAGAGCCTCCCTCTCTAACAGCTATTCTTTGAATTCCACAAACACTCTGACCATGCATTTCTTTGCTGCATTTTACTCTTCTGGAGTTCATCAAGTATTTCAGAACACAAAAAGCTCGGGGGACCGGGGGATTTAAAGCCCTCCAGCTTTTCATGACACGAACACTATAGTCCATCCCACTTCAACCTGTCACCAGTAAGTCTTTTCAGGACGGCAACTTAAGGAGAAAAGACTTTCAGAGTACTTCAATGTAAGCCCATCACAAATATCTCTGGGCATACCAGTAATTTACTGAGAGCTACTCAGCAGAGGAATTAGTTTGTAAACAAATGAAGAAAACACTGGGGGTTTGGGGAGTGTGGTTTTTTGTTTGGGGTTGTTGTCTTTTTCTTCTTGTATTTTTTTTTTAAATCCAGGGAGGAGTCTACAGAAAAGGAGACAACTTCATGTCCTTGCAAATTCTATGCTGCACATATTGTAAGAGTGGATATTAAATAATTGTAAAAAAGGTTAGAATAATGAGTCTGAAAGTTTACATAAGATGATATACATTTTAATAGTTTGTGCTTGAACAGCCTACTTTTGATAGCCATCAACTTCCTTTCTCAGACTAATTATATAATAGATATATTCTTTATGCACTCTTTATGCATAAAGACAACACATTAATATTAAGGAA